CAGTTTGCATTGGAATATTAAGGTAAGGTAACGTCGAGAGATCTATAATTTTGGGTCTTTTTATACCTCATCAGTAGATCACACTCGTCATGTGAATCCAACTGAAAATCTCGCAAAATCCAAGACGGCATCAAAGCTCAAGTTCGAAGTACAAGTTTTGTATTACAAGACGGCAAGTTTCGTACTGGTAATCATTGGACCTCAAAATTTTTTACTCTGATTGAAAATTTTTGAAGTTTTTCGCTTTTGATCTCACTGACGAGTGTAATCTACTGACGAGGTCTATAACAGGACCCAAAATTATAGATCTCTCGCCGTGGTCTCCTCTTCATATTCTGATGCTAATTGCCTGAGCTGAACGCTCTTCCTCTTCAGTTATGTACTGCCGTACTGGTTATCCATTAGAGCTCAAAATGTTTGACTCCAATTGAAAATTTTGGAACTTTTTGGTTTTGTTTTCAAAATAGTGTGGACCCAGCAATATTTTGCCACCATTTTACACAGTTCGGGTCACGTTTTTAGAGGTTTTTCTCTTTTTTCGTGATTCTAGGGAAAATGGTCGAAAAAATTACATTTTTAAGGCGGAGCTGATAAATTGCTGTTACACAGGATTAATTTGAGTTTGAAACTATTGACACATGTTTTCTACAAATAAGTGAATCGCAAATCAGGGCTTATCCATTAGAATAAGCGATGACATTAGCAGTTGTAATTAAATTTTTAAACGTGTAAAATTGAAATATTTCTTAAATCCACACGCTTCACGCCTTTTAGCCGCAATTCTTAAAACTAAAATGTCGCAAATTGTAAAAGGAAGGTTACTTTAACCTTCATTTATGAATTCTGCGACCCAATAAACCTGTAAATGGATACATATCTTGCTATTCTAAGGTCAAGGCTGACTGTATGATCCTGTAAGGGATAATTTCGGCGGCCATCTTGGATTTTGGACATCCCAGGGGGCCAGGGTGAATTTTGAATTCAAGATTTGGATTCTACGACCAGAAATCTATGGGGTTTGATACGTCACATGATATGAGAAGCTATTATAGAATTTTTGGTTCCAAAATTTCAGCAATTTTGGCTGCCATCTTGTAATTTGAGGCCTTAAATGAATCGCAAAGGATTTTTTAAAATCATTTTTCGATTTTACGGCCCAAAAAATGGTATGAAAGATACCTCACATGCCATATAGGAGCACACGTGGCCGTTTGACTTACAGGAGGGGAAATTTGGCCGCCATCTTGGATTTAAGGGTCTTTAAGAAGTCGGAGTACATTTTTAAGCATATATTTGAAATTTTCGACCAAAAATACATAGGAATCGACATACATGTCGACCATGGGAGTCACTTTCACCCACTTCACCCCCGTGGCGGCCATTTTGGGCGCCATCTTGAATTTAAGGGTGTTCCGGGAAAAATTGAGCCTGGCAGCATCGAAATTCTGTTTCAGGACATCAAGACGAAGAGATCAAGCCATCTCGCCAACTTGTATCATTAACGGTCCCACGGGACTACATGTGCTCCCGGACTATGATCCAAAGACATAAAGACGGAGCACTAAAAGCAAAAAATGAAGCTTCTAGAGCTTCTTTTCAATCACCTCTACTATTGGCTAGAGGATTGGCGGCGAAATCGGGACAAGTTTGAATTCAAATGTAGGGTGGGAACTAATAAATAAAATTGCGGATACAAAGTATTTTAGGTTGATTTTTGCCCAAATTCAGGTACACACTCATATTTTATTAACTTTAGGTTAGTTTCGGTCCGTCGTCGACCGACTGATTTCATTTGGGAGTAACGTAGATCTAGAACTGTAACGGCCTGTTTGAACCTGCAGAACCACCATAAGCAGAAGAAAAACTAACTTTATCTGAGATTACTGCCTGTTACCGAGCAAAAGTAGGTGTAATATATTAGGACGCAGACCGAACTTTCTTAATATAATCGTTTTAAGCATTTAAAACACGTTTCGAAGAAGAAATAAGGAAAAATCAAGAGGACAAGTTCAAATCAAATTTCCGTTTGCCGCCATGGATTCCCGCGCTCATTTACACACTCACACAAACGCGCAGCGCCGAACCTAGCTTCACTTTTTCCCCGTGCTTTTAGATACGAGCACTCCGTCTTTATGTCTTTGACTTGATCCAACGTAAAATCTCGCGCAAAACACGATGGTGCCTCTGGTCTTCTCTGAAGCGAATTCCAAAGCTCAAAAAAAGCTCTCGAAGTTGAGTCCGTAATGGAGGGGATCTCTCAAGCTACGCTGAAAGTCAAACACTCTCAATGCATACACTGAGAGAAAATGCATTAGCAAGGATTGCCTCTTTGTTTGGGGACTCCAAAGCTAAAACCACGACAGTCTTGCTAATATATTTGCTCCCTATTATCAATCTGAGCATGGAGAACTACTAGATGGAGGTAGACTCAGCGTAGAGTGGGGGACCCTAGACTCTTCTCCATTACGGCCTCAAAGTTGAGAGCTTTTTTTTAGCTTTGCCTTTTGTTTCAGAGAAAAGCAACGGCACCATCGTGTTTCTCGCGAAATTTTCCGTTCGCAGCAATAATTAAACCGCAAATCCTTGACGCGTGCAAGAGATCCGTTGCACGTAAGAGATACAGCCAGATGAACGTATTTCTGCCAAACGGAACTATGTGCACAATGTCGTGAGCCCTGTTACGCATATATATCATTATGGGTCTCAGGGCTCATGTCGCAATGCACATAGTTCCGTTTGGCAGAAATACGTCCAAATAAATGCACTCTCTACAAGTAAAATCGCACGAAACTCACATTGATCACGTCAGAAAAGTCTGGAATCCATTCCTTCTTGCGCAATCTACGTGGTTTAAAACACGCTTTTTCTATTTTCTCGATTTTCTCACGTCTACGGGCACTTTTTCTCAGTCACCGCCAACCAGGTTTGCACACACAGGGATCAGAAAAACTAATCTGAGTAAACAAACAATTTCACTGACTTTTTCTATCACATGAATTTAATCGTTTTCAAGCATTTCTTTTCTTTTTCTTTATTTATTTTGCAAAAATCAAAGCTTTGAATTAATTGAAATCTTACGCAAGTAAGTTCCTAACAATTTGCAAGATTGATTTTTATTTCGGTTAGGTCTCTCTCCGGGCAAACTTGACCGCCGGCCACCAAGAAAAACTGTCCGCGCACGCTGTTTGAAGAATCGTGTTACAAACCTACGCAGATTGCGCGCTGAGGAACGGATTTCAGACTTTTTTGATGTGACCGACTTAATTTTCGGGCGAATTTACACTTAATAAATGTACTCAGTCGTCTGCATCTGTTGCTTGCAATAGAGTCCCTTCATGGATTCATGGAGAGAGTTGAGACAACGTAGCTTGTGGATGTCACAAACAGGAATACTGGAATCTTTATTCCCGTTCGTGGCACTGTGAAGGCCTAAAATACAGGAACCAATCAGAAATGGATTTGCATTGTCCTCACTCTCAGTATGAAGGGACTCCAGCGCGCAACAGACCCTTTAAAACAAACGTAAACTTCTTTCCGCATTAACAAAAGTTTTGCTTGAGACCTGTTGCTTACTTGAGTCTCAGTCGGCGGATACAGATTGGCGGGAACGCGCCAATCGATGAGAGGGCTTCCTAGTGGCTCTCTGCCGACGTAGTGCAAAGTCCCGAAAGGCGAAGTTCGATATGAGGGTGGGACCGAGTTCCCACGCCCCCGGTGACTAGACTGCTGAGAGGGTGCGCGCCTAGGGGTAGGCGTGGGTGGCGCTGAGCCACTTCTTCTTCTTCTGGATCTGTTGAAAGAATTCAGCATTCGGGGTTGTAGTCTTGCGGTTCTGGTAGATCCATCTCTCCGGCGAATGGCACCAATCGATGCCATATATTCTTCGCCTGCGCAGAATTTAAGGAGCGCTTATAAATTACGCAGCGTTCTAGAGGGAAAGGAGTTGCGAACCTGCGTTATACTGCCAATGGACCACTAGACAAGGTACGAACTAAAGCATTCTGAGGCCTTGTCCACACGAACGCGGTTCGCGGAACTCAGTTCGAGGAACTTGTTCCCGGAACAAGTTTTTTGCTGAGCTGAAACTTATTCCTCCAAAACCTGGAATTTCCCCGTGCTCCGAGCTTCTAAATATGTTTCTTTTGATGTGAATTTGCTTGTTTTTGTTTTTCACGTCCTTTACATATGATCTTGACATTTATTTTTGTTACTTTGGCGGTCATAATAATCTTTTATTTTGCAATAATTGTATAGTTTTATTGAAGTTCCGGTTCCAGTTCGGACGAACCCGTGTGGACAGCATGCCTCCGTTTCAAGGAATAAGTTCCGGGAACTGAGCAAGTTCGAGGAATAAGTTCCGCGAACTGCGCTCGTGTGGACAAGGCCTGATACATGTTATTTAACCAGAATTTCACATAGAACATGATTCCCGCAACGAAAATTACTGAAACCAACTCCTGACGGAGATATCAACGTTTTTATTTTGCATTGGTCACAAGGAATTTGAACTGCCCGCTCACAAGAAACTCAAAGCTCTACGTGAGTCAAGTCGCGCACTACAACGGTTTCAGCAAGCTTCTCAATCGAGCAATGTTCATTTCCCACTATGTGTTTTTCAAACTATAAGTAATTCGCTATAGCTGAGCCAAAGCGTCAAGATTAAGGTTGCCAGATTTTTTTATCGCAGAGGCGTTCATGATAACGTTTAGCGCGCGTTGTGAATCACGTAGAGAATTGAGTTTTCATGAGCAGGTGGTTCAATTCACGCACCAAGAATCAATGAATATCTTCGGGAGGAGTTGATTTTGGTGATTTTCGTTGTGCGCATCGTGCTTTACGTGAAATTTTGGTGAAGACACGTATATCAGAATGCTGAAATTCGGACCTTGTCTAGTGATCCATTGTGAAGTAAGAAGTGCATTTCAGACTTTGCCGATGCGCTCATCGTGCTTTTTGAGACATTTTCTCGGATTAACAACTCTTATTTGGACGTATTTCTGTTGAACGGAACTAAGCACCAATTTGAGTTCCTTTTTGAGGATTTTAGAATCCCGGATAGCGCGTACTGTCAAAATGAATTAAGCGCCATGGAAAAGCATTGCGAGTATAGGACGGATCGAACATCGCGTTCTGCAACACCCGCCAATCTAAGCCCCCCTCTCCCTTCATCTCTCAATGGCGCTTAGTTCCGTTTGATAGAAATAGGTCCATTTTTGCTCTAGCAAAAGTTTGCAACAGGCCCACTGTGGGAAAGTTTATGGCACGCTGCGGCGCGGCGTGCTTGCCAGCTCGAAACGCGCACTGCCGCCTTTAAACCTAAAGGGATACTTCAAGCATTGCGCAATGCGTGAAGTATCCCCTTAGGTTTGTAGGCGTTAGGCAGTTCCCTCTAGCAGCACGCTGCGGCTCTCCTTACGGGCTTGTGGTGAACGATTTCTTGCGGGGAGAGCTCCCTGGCGGAGAAACTCGTGTATCGTGTGGTGTTTTTTTTTTTTTAATTTTCCACTTTTAAAATTACACACGGGTCGTGTGAAGTAATTAGTGTACTGTCAACGCTAGACGAATTGTAATAATGCAAGGCGGGTCGTTCAACAAAAAATAAAAATTTACATTTTTTCAACTGGGAGAATTAGCAACTTTACAGCGTAATACAAAAACACCTAGGTCACATTTTAAAAATTTGATTATAGTGAGCTCATCTAGAGACAATTTCCTATCGATAACCGCAAAAATCATGAAAATCGGCCCAGTAGAAAGTTGGAACGTAGCGTTACCAGATATGAAAAATTTAGGAGGTGTCGGAGCTTATGGTATAGATTTATTCATGCTCTCTGACGCGTTTGTTGCATACGTAGCGAAATTGAAGGCGTACTTCACGTGTACAGTATCTGCCAATAGATTCACAACATCGTGTACCGGTTCTATCAAAGCTTACGGCGCGATAGAAATGTGTGTTTTCCGAATAGATTCGATTCGAGCTCCGCGGTATATATCGACGGTGTAAGTCGGCAACCACATAACTCGTTTGCGGTGTCTGAAAATCTCCGCCTCTATGTTATTTTTTAAAGAAGAACAAATTGACATCATTCCTTGAAGTTTATGCAGAATTTTCTTCGCACAGAGAAGAAAAATCACGGCAGTTTTAAAGAATCGCCGTTGGGTAGTTTTCCGTTTAAAAATAAAGTATGACAGGAAGTCTGCGACGTCGCAAACCGAGTTATGTGATTACCGACTTACACCGTGAATATGTTGCCTATACAACAAAATGGAAGGCGAACTCAAAACAATTAGTTCCTAATAACAAAATATAGTCCATTTGTACTTACTAGTCAAATCCGCGAACGGGCCGACACCATAAACGACGCTCCCTTTCCTATTAGCCATCAGGTTGTCGATTTTAACCAAGTTGTTTGCGAATATCTGATACCGCTTTTTCTTCTCCGATGAGGTATACTTCCTCCCGTAGGCCTTCTTGAACATCTCGAATCGTTGTTTAGTGTCTAGGCGACCAACTTGCGCCTAAAATCGAGGATAATGAATAAGTAGTGCATCTATGGAGACCGGAAAAGGAGCCCTAGTTGCAGTAAATTGCAAATTCATAAATCGATTGCATCATTATTGATACGGCATCGGATTGTTGTGTTTATTGCCGATCAATGGATAAGTGATATTTGCCTCTAAATTAATGGGTCTGATGTAAACTTAAGGTGATTCGATGGACGCTATAGTTTGTGTCAGAACGAAATGCGATACATCGCATCGATTAGTTCTATTTTCTCAACTAATTGTCATTTTTTTCGGGG